TGGTTCTTTCGGTAAAGTCACGTAGATATAAAAAATAATAACAATAAAATAAAAATAAAGTCAATTAAAAATTATAATATAGGCCAAGGTCGGTAAAGAAAATGTTATGACCGACCTTGGCCTATAACATCCTGTTTAGAGCTTGTGGGTCGACCGAGCAAGCAATATCTACGCTCCAGCCTGCTAGCACTCTTTCTCTTGAACACTCTCACACACACTGCCTCACACACAGTCTTATACTCACTCTTAGACACACTCACACTCTCTCTCACATAGTCACTCACACACTCTCTTACAAACACTTTCTCTCACACATACCTCCCGACAATTTTCTCACACACACACACTCTTACATGCACACTCTCACGCGCACACACACATACTAATACACACTCTCAGAATCTGTGACACATCACATTCACTCCTCACCCACGCACACACCCCGTGGTGCTGTATACAGCAGTCTGCAAGCTTCAGGGTCAAACTTGCCCAGGTGGGGGTCGCCCTAAACCGGGGCTGGGCGGCCAGGCCGAGCCGCCTCCGGCACCCGGTGTTGACAAAACACGGCCGGCTGAGCCACACTCACAGCGGAGCAAGGACGCCCATCCAACAGAGCCACCTAACCCACGACGCACACGTGATGAGTAAGACATGGCATTGCACAACTAACAACGGTGACGTCAGAGACATTGTAAGAATTGCAACAGGTGCCTACGTAAAGAAGCGTCGAAACAATTACTCCATTTACATCATTTGCCGATAGCCAAATCATCCGGAATGCATCCCACCTCGTTAGATCTCAAGCTAAGCAGCTTTGAGCCTGGAAGGTGATTTGGCCAGGTTGCCATAGGCTGCTCCGGGGCTGTGCTAACGTCGTGGTCAGCAGAGGGCGGTGAAGCAAACCCCAGTCTTGTACGACACCTCTATGTTCTGACCTCCACACTCTCCAGCTTCACCAATCCACATTGAGCAGCGTGGTGAGGTATGGTGAAATAACTCCCATGACCTGCGCGGTGTGGGGAGGCCCTCATACAGCAGTGGATTAAGAAAAGTGCTTTACATGTGCATATTTTATCTAGACAATAGAATACTCTACTGTTGAACTATAGTTTTCAAATTATCCATATTCTCCACACTTATCAATTATTCACATTTATATTATTTGTGTCTTTCGGTAAAGTCATGTAGATAAGTTAATTTAACACGTAGGCTTTCGCGACCAATATTATTCATAATAAAGGTTTTTGGGTTAGATCGCGTTATAGGTGAAAAAAACGACGTTTCGATCGCAACACAAGCGGCCGTGACTTTACCGAAAGACCCAAAGAATATAAATTCCTGCAGTCACGAAAGCTTTAAGTCAAGATTTAATTCACATTTACCTCATCTTAATGGAGAAATATTAGTGAACTTGAGAAAGGCTTGTTGTATACTAAAGAGTGGCTACCCCTGGCTCAGAGCAAGCAGCGAGCAGGGTTGCGGCCAGTACAAGTCTGGAAATGTTTGCTGCCAGTAAGTAAATATTGACGAACAATTGTCGAACAATACACAACACTGGCGCCGTCTCTCTGTGCTCACCTGGGCACCTACACAGGGGCCCACCTGTTGTTCGGCTTCGACACCCGAGTCACTTGCATAGCCAAGGGCAGCAGGAGTTCACTGCTAACGTACCGACGACCCCATGGGGTAAACTGCTGAATGGGAGGTCTCTCCACGCCGTGCGGGGTTACGTGAGCATACTTTACCAAGCTGGTAATTATGGATTGGTAGAGGCGAGGAGCATAGACGTGGTGACATAGTACAGTACGATGTTATTGCGGCACTGCCTGTTGCTCCAACCACCACCACGTAGCCCGATGACAACCTGTTTGTGCATGGCGGTCACCCTTTCCAACAACTATCTAGGCTCAACTCTGCTTGGCTTCCGAAATACGAGAAGGCTGTTCATACAGGCCTCGTGGAGAGCACCTTACGGTAAGACCTGAGGCGCCTGGACCTGAATCCCCAAGTGTCACCTGCAGTTGAGACCCAGGGCCGTCATGTGTAGAAGCAACCCGAGAGCCCAAGCGGTCATCCGAAAAGTGGAAACTCCAGGGGGTGGCCACCTACAAATTAGACTTCAGTTGACCGATTGAGGTAGTCAAAAAAATGAATGCAGGGTTTATCCGAAGGCCAGACCCCAGAAGTCATGTCCAGCCAACACCTCCGTGAGGTCACTTTGGACAATACTCGTGAACCCGGCAAAATGCATCCATGATTGAGATTTTGTATTAATTAACCCAGGGGTTATCAACAATTGTTGGAGACAAGACAAATGGGACAAGTTAGGGTTGAATAAGAATTGGAGATTACGTGGAGGTCGAGACCCAAAGGTTCCTTCTATGGCTCTCCCACCTTGGTGAGAAAGCAGCTCCTGTTCTGGGAAATCTGTCAGTCTTCACGGGACACTGAAGTCCCGGCTGTTGCAAATCCCGTAATTACAATAATAACACAGCACTCGAGACAATGCATTCACAAATAGCCGAGACCCACAGTGGCCACCTGCAGACAAGACAGCACGGGAGTCGGCTGCATTCCAGGAGCTCTGACACATGGGAGTCGAGTCCCCCAGGGGTCGACTGCTGAAGGACCAGCCTCGAGCAGCTAGCAAACAGGAGTCGCTCACCTGCGGCTCACCTGTGCCGGGCTAGGCAAGGTGATGGGGCGAGTGATGACGGGATAGGATAGGTAAATGGTTAGACGAGGTGACGGGCTAGAGGCTGTGAAGTTTGTCCTCCCTCGTGATGCTGAATCGAACGTCGGCCAACGCGGGCGGCGCCCAGGATGTTTCTCCATCGCGGCGAGGCACGGAACCCGGAAAAGCAAACTTCTCGCTGCTTCTCCACCCACGACTCTATCCTCGCTGCTACTGCTACTTTCTCTCTCGCTTCTCCACCCGATCCTCCTCCTGCTGCTGCTACTGCTGCTGCTGCTGCCTGTTGCATCTCTCCCTTGTGTCAACAACTGTTGCTCCCCCGGGCTTATTGCTGCTTCAAACGACTCATGTCAGCTTCGGCCACTTTCATCGCCTCAGCAGCGCTGCTTCCCTGCGGCTGCCGCAGCTCCGCGTGCCTCCTCCTCCTGCTGCTGCTGTTGTTGTTGTTGTCACTGCGGTGCCTGCACCAGCGAGGCTCCCTTAGCTTCTCGTGCCGGCTACTTCTGCCGCCTGCTTGTTAACGAATCGGGCAAACCGCGAGGACGACTCAACTCACGCAGCCAGGCAGGCGGGCAGGGGTGAGGAGGTGGAGGTGAGGAGGTGAAGAGGTGGAGGTGAAGGGGTGGAAGTGAGGAGGCTGAGGTGAGGAGGCGGAGGTGGAGAGTTGTGTTTGGAAACTCTGTCAAGTGGCGGTGAGGTGGAGGTGGTGAAGAGGTGGAGGTGGGGAAGTGCAGTGTGAAGAAGTGGTGAACAAGTGGAGGAAGTGGAGGTGAAGACGATGAAAAGTTGCGTTTGAAGTGGCGGTGAAGAAGCGGAGGAGGTGAAGGAGGAGGAGAAGGCCTGTGTTGACTCGTCCTCTTCCTGGCTGGTGCCTGCACACTCACCTTGGTGAAGTACAGCATCCACAGCTCGTAGAGTCGCTCCTGTGAGGCCATCACGGCCGCCGTCACTCGCCGCACCGCTCACGGCCGCGATGGCATCGACTTCATCATCATCATCATCGCCGCCACCACCACGGCTCGGGCGGCGAAGACAGGCGAGGAAGTTGACGACGATGACCGCGGCTTCTGCTTGTGTCGGCGAGCACAGCCCGGCACCGCCTCCGCCTCCTCCTCCGCCTCCTCCTCCCCGCCGCTTCTGGCGCCACCAACTCCCGCACTTTGCTCCCCCGCCCGCGCCGGGGCGGATTCACATTCCCTAGCGCAGATCCGCATATCCAACTCAAGGGGGTTACATTCCCTAGCGCAGATCCGCATATCCGACTTGGTCGCTCTATATAGCATAATTCGGATAAGCATATCCGTCCCGAAGGTTTACATAGCTTAGTTCGAATAAGTAAACCCATTGAGCTTTTAACCCCGAGTGCTGATTTTAATATCCGAATCATTTTGCGTATATTTATTAATACTATCAAGGATATCTACCTTAATGGCTTTACATTCTGTAATACTAATACGCATAATGCCCCAATAGTTGTATTGTCGATTCAGTGAATTTTCATGGCATTATTCATATAAGTATATCCGATTAAGTTGGTTCTCATAACTTGTATTTCTTTCGCATATCCGTACACATTATCTCATAACGTTATGTTATCGAGTTCTGATAGGCAATCCCTTACCAATGGCTTTAAATTCTCACGTTGGTCTCTGTAACTTTTGTTTCTTACCTCTGATATATTCGACTCTTCCGAGAAAGCTTTTATACATAGTCGAATAATGACGGATCTTAACAAATTTATTATTTCAGCCATTGATCTTATCAAGTGTATGATTTAGTTTATCTTCGCCCTTGGGTTCTTGTCAAATGTATGATTTCTAAACTACCAGCACCTGCAGTACATTGGATCAATAGGGATATTTAATAGCATCTGACCCTGGTACTGGTCGAGTGTATGATATATAAAAGCACCCAATCTGGGTACTTGTCGAGTGTATGATATCTAAAAGCGTCTGACCTGAATACTTGTCGTGTGTATGATATTAAAAAGCGTCCGACCTGGGTACTTGTCAATTGTATGATTTGTAAGGAGCACCCGACCCGGGGCGTAACTGGTACCGACGTCAACCTCCCACGCGCGTGGTTGAATGACGTCATCGTCAGCCATGGTCAATCCACTGCTCGATAGCGACTCGCCAAGCGACGCAAACCTCCTCTAACTATCCTGCGTACTTATATCCTAAGGTGGGCGTGTAATGTCCATGTTGCAATGAGTATGTTTAATTGAGAAATCCGGAGTGTCAAGACTTTTATTTTTATCAAAAGGGCCCTACGCGGGGTGTTTTGGAACTTAATAGTCCTTTTGCATATCCACTGCTGGATGAATGCCACTGCACACAATATCGGACATTTGGGTATTACCATATAGTACTTAGCCGCGCAATGTCAGTTGGATTAGTGAAGGAGAGGGGGGTAAGAATTTGTATAGGAATCAAACACGGGTCGCTGGAATTAGTATCGCAGCGCGCGAACCGCTGTGCCACCGCCCCACTGAAGTGAATAACCCCAGTAATAGATAACACGAATAAGCTGCCGTAAAACTATACTGCAGTAGCTCGTGTGTGTTGCTCTATTTTCATCGCCACCGTGTTTGTTGCTTGTTACGGCTGCAAGTCTAGCGCGCTTCTGGCAACTTTTTAGCGTAGGCCGCGTTGCTAGGCGACGTCAGCTGACAGCGCGCGCTCCCAATTGGTGGGGCGCGTGGTCACGTGGTTCAATCCACGGCCTCCTCTCAGCCGAAGCGCGGTCCCAACATCCTCGTTACAATTCTCTCTTTTAACACGTTTATAATCACTCGATAGAAACTTGCACAGTGCAACGCGTGAGTGTAATTTAAAGTCAGTTGCTCGCGTCGCAAAGAGCGGGGGCTGTTGTGGGGGCGAGCTCTGGACGCGGGAACAGGTCACGCCGCTGGGTCGCCACGTGTGGCTGGGATGGCGGCGGCGGCGGCAGCTGGTGGTGGTGGCGGCAAGAGTCTCCAGGAGAACGCGCTGCAGAGGAAGGAGCGGCTCAAGGCTCTGAGGAGCAAGCAGCTGCAGGTACAGCTTCCATCGCTCCCATCAGCTCGTGGCCCCGCAGCAGTCGGCTGCAGAGGTCTCAAGCTGAGCGGTGGTCCAAGTGTTCGGCAGGGCCCGCGCTAGGCGGGTGTCGGGTTGGGTCGTGCACCACCAAATGTCCCTTTGGCTCTGCCAAGTTCGCGCTCTATAGTGGCTAATCACTGTTATTGCTATACTGGACAGATGGGACCTAACATTAGCGTAAGACTAAAAGAATACCAAAGAAATATTAAATACTCACAAACACAACTCTCGGCAGTTGCAGAACATGCTTGCCAACAAGGACACTCAATTGATTTTGATGACGTTGAAGTGTTGTGTAAAACGAATTATCACTGGCAGAAACTAATTCGAGAATCGGTTTAATTTGAGAGAAATACAAATAATTTAACCGCTCTGAGAGCTACAGGCTTAGTGCGGCCTGGAATCGTATTATTAAGTAATACCGAAAGCAGGTGGATTGCTTAACTATTCTGGCAAATCCCCCGATGATGCTGACCAGCGAAACGTCGTACTAAAATTGTAAATGTGAATTTACTTCAAAACACTGGTGGGCTGAAGTAGTAACTAATTGGCGCGTTTACGTGAAAACCCTTACTGGCTGTATCGGGTGGTGGAGGGTGACGACACATACGCGATATAACCCAAAAAAAACTTTATTATGAACAGTTATTGATGGCCCCACACACACCACCCTCCTCCATTGGCCCTGGTGCAGATGCACCACCTGCACATTCGATAGCTATTCCACTCGATTTTGTGTTAAGACTTTAGAAGCTATTGGTCTGTGTTGTAAGTCTGGGTTTCTGTGCCATTCTTTGGCTATATACGCGAATATATGGGTTGCTGAAAACATATGGGCAGTTCGCTGTTTTATAATCGAACAATAAGAATAAGGTGGCCAGGTGGCTCAGATGGCAGAGCGCTGAGCTGGCACCACTGACAATCTGGGTTTAGTTCCAGGCAGCCTCCTGTGATTCATCCGGGTTCCCAAGTGGAATGAGTTAGTTGATTTTCTCAGCCCCTTTACCAATGATCGCACGTAATAAAACATGCTATGTTTTTGCACTTATTTGTCTCTGAGAATTAAAAATGTATCTTTGACTGCCACACGATGGTTACATATTATTCTTGGGGGGTTTGGGAAAGCGCTTCCCCCGCACTGTGGACCAGAGGTCACTTTTGAAGGTAAAGCATCTCGATTCCGTACTGTAATATCCGCTTTCGTCGGCTTGTAAATATGTACATGTTATGCCCTCCGGTTGCAACGCATAACGATTGATAGCAGCATTCATCTTCAGAGCTGTAGTGTCATTCACAGCACTTTAAAAATGAACGAGATGTATTGTTTAATGACATTGAGATGGATTCGACGATGGTTTGGCTTGGCAGAGAGGTGGTGACCAAGTTATATAATTGACGCAAGTGGTCTGTTTTTATGGATTCATAACGAATAAACATAGTTCTGATTTACTTAAATGCAACAATGATAGGCTTATAAATATGCTTATATCCAGGTGAGACTCCTTGGAGAAAAAAATATTTTTACAAAGGAGATCTGGGATGTAAATAAGTATGGTCCAACAATGCATGCATGTGTGTGAAGGCCAAAGGACAGGAGGAAGGAGAGCCCGACGAGAAGAGGTTTGCCGAAGAGGAAACTAAACACAAGTAGGTGGCCATGCAGTCATACTCATTAGGGATAGCACAGCAGGACAGTGCATAAACATATATTGTACTTTACCATGCTTATACGTCTATGCTATACGTTTTCACCAACTTGCATTGACCGTCATGAGGTGTGGTCAAGTAATCCTCATGACCCACAACGTGGGGAGGCCCTCATCCAGGAATATTTTGACAGAAGGGCTGTACATGTACCAAATGTGTATGTCCTGTGGAATGTATAATCACTGTGAATGCATGTTATAAATCATTCATGTGGATAAACTTGCAAATACCCACATCATGAATATCACCTTTCAATCATTAATTTATTTTTCAAATTTTCAAATATATTTCAGAGAATTAAAACTTCGCAACTATACTCCAGAAGATACAGAGCTGAAAATGCGTCAGCAGCCTCAGGCCAAACCAGCATCAGGTAAGCAGTGTCTCGGATGTTTTGCAGCATGTTTATTCGTGTAAACACGATCCCTTTGTGAAACATTCACTGTTTTTTTCAGTTGATGAAAAAGTCCAAGATCAGCTGGAAGCTGGAAAGCCTCAACCAATCATAGAGGAAGTGGTATGGCAGATGAACCATCTTCTTGTTTACCACTCCTTAAGTTTTAGACTTTGCCTTGCGTGTATCGCTTCCATGAACTTTCTATGTATTGTAAAATTAAAGGTGTAATTTGTCTGGTTGCATGTGTGACTTACATTTGTAACTGCAAAACTAAATTGTAAATCTCTCTGTATAAGCTAAATAATTATAAACAAGTTTTAAGTAATGTGTATTTTTTGGTAGGATTTGGCCAACCTTGCTCCCAGAAAACCGGACTGGTAAGTAAAGTACCTTTTACCTTCAGTTTTTACATTGCAATCACAGGTATATATATTTTTTCATATAACGTGGCATATGTGACCTGGATATAATTGGATATTTGTGCTGCATAGGGACTTGAAGAGAGATGTTGCCAAGAAGATGGAGAAGCTCGAAAAGCGAACACAGAGGGCCATCGCTGAGCTCATCCGTAGGTCACAGTGATGACATTGTCAACATGAATAATTTCATCCATAATACAGGTTTTTGGGTTAAATCGCGTGTACAGCCTTTTCTCAGTATACTGCTGGATGAGGGCCTACCCCACACCATGTTGTTGATTGGTCTTAATCGATCATACCTTGCCACGCTGTTCGGTGAAGCTTTGTGAAGGCAGGATGCATCGTTGCAGGAGGAATACAAGTACATTCCAATGTATTTTTCTGGACTGCCCTGGGCTACCAACAACGTAGCCCCGCAGTGCCCTGTAACACCTGTGTGCCTTTTGGTTGCCCATAAAAGCACTGCCTAGGCTCAACCACGCTTCTGAGATCCGATGAGGTTGAGCATGCTCAGACTGGTTTGTTCATCGGTGTGGCATTATACAAATTAGCTTTAACACTTTACCTTCCTCAACAACGTTGTGCATGGAATATCCTGCATAGTAATCTGCTGTTTTGTCTTGTTCTCTACCACCAGGAGATCGATTGAGGGGACATGAGGAGGAGCTGGCCATGGGTGTTGAAACAGCCACAGGGAATAATTATGACTCAGACTGAGGTGATCAGTGTTAGTTTCCCTTCAAGTACACACAAACGGTGCTTGTCTGTGCAGTATCTCTGCGTGTTTTCACAAGGAATGTACAATAAGTGCTCGTGGGAATGTTAAAACGATATAATTTTTCACGTTTTCCTGTATATATAGTTTTATTGTTTTTAATAAATACACGTGTGGCGGATATACCCAATGGCATTGTCGCATTTAGTGAAGGAATTTTAAACCTCTTAACATTAAAATATAACCATCAACAATGAAAAAACAATGGAAGACTTTAATGATGAAAACCGGCCTGGTGGCTCAACAGGAGAGTAAAGCTGCTCCCAATCAGAAAAATTGCAAGTTCAGTACTGATTGGGGATTGACTCAACTCATCATCCCTCCAGCATCACTAAAATTAGTACCACTTTGTGGGAAAGTCAACAGTGGTTGTCCTCTGTAAATCGGCCCTGCCATAGGAATGAGGAATTTCCAATTCTGGCTTCGAGCTCTAAACAGGAGATGAGCACTGCCTCTGCTTATTTGAGCAAGAAATCACTGAGTAATGGAACAAATTGGCTCATGTGCAGATGCTAGATGTACATATATTTCAGGCACATGAGAGGTGGTGGTGGCTTGGAGAGGTGTCCATCCTGCAGTGAATTTGACCATGGCCCGTGGTCATAATGAACTCTTAAAAATAACAAATATTGCATTGAGAGTGACAGACTCGCGCTTCAGACAATGTGAGCCAGTCGGCGAAGATCTGCATCCCCCGTTACAGGTCTGCAAATGCGCGGATTAACTTTGCGCCCTGTCCTCCAACTTCCACACGCACTGAACCAGCACCTTCGCAAAGTTGCTCACGTCCTGCTCCGGAATGCAGGTTGTTCTGCACGCCTGCTCCATCACCTGTTGTGTGCGGAAAAACATTATGAACATGTCTGGCGCTTTCTCCATTCTGTATTACAACCACGGCATGTTTTTTAGCGGGTTTAATACCTTCTGGCAGATCGGGTAGCAGCAAAAGTATGCAGCAGCCGAGATCACGGAGACCGCCAGCAGCATGAAGTCTCCTTCCACTCTCCAGAAGTTTTCTCTGAATGGAAATGCCAGTTTAGTCTCATTAGGGGTGCCAGCAATGGTTGTCAGTTGTATAGAATAAATATTCGGCATATGGATTGCTTCTTGCACTGCTAATATTACCACTAATGTTGATCTGACTTGATTATATTACTATTGATAAAATTACCACCGCTACTACTATGGCTTAATTACAGCTGGGTTGGTGACCTGAATTTTTTTAAGCAATGGGCACACCATTGGTCGTGGTGCAGTCCTTAAAAAAAAAATCTGGCCCCACCCCCGGCCCTCAGCTCTCTGGGTCGCGTATGGGCAGTTGGGCAAATTGTACCGTGGAATTAAAAAGGATTGAGATGCACTCATGTAAGAGTATGGCCTACATGTATGACACAGTAACACGTAGGTTCGTGTGTACACAACTTTTAACATGCGTGAAGCGATAGCGAGTTCATGTTGCATATCACCTTGTGAAGAATGTATTCTGCACGCGATGACCTAATTCTGCTCACGAAAACGCATGTTATCGGTATCCTGCACGCTTACTTTTATCTACATACCCACGTGTGTATCACGGAGATGTGTGTGAATACATTAACATGACTAATATTCTAAAACAATTACCACTGCTGGTAGTAATTAAATTTAGTCGAGAACATTGCTTTATACCGAAAATGGTCATTAAACTTTGATTATTCTATAAACATTTTTCATACCACCTTGTCTGGTCTCATCACACTTGGATGGGTGACCACCATGCACGAGGTGTTTGGTTACTGTGGAGGCTGTATATTGTCAGCTGAGGACAGCAAAATGCATTGTATTGTGGTGCTTCAAAGTCTATGCTTTTTGCCTTCAACCAGCACTGACCAGCCGTGGTGAAGTATGGTCAAATACCCCCGCAATCGAGCAGTTGATTCACAAGAGCTGTACATGTACAACAGTATTTGGTGTTTTTCTTATGTAGTCTTTTTAAACATTGCTCTGGAAATACACTGTAAACAGATGAATCTGCCAACGAGGAAAGCCACAATGTGTACAAGACGAGTACTAGCAAGACCTGTATGTCACATCACTTGGGTCCAACGCATCCCCGGTAGAAGTGCCTAAGAGCAGGTCGTTGTACACGGCGGTTCGTAGGAGGTAAACGACATCCAGCACCTTCAGGCTGATGCTGTGCAGAGACTTCACAGGCAAGGTGGGGTCGTTGTGCCCTGCCAATGGCATCACTCTCAATGAGCTGTGATCTGGGCGATGTTTACAATAAATCATGCTAAACCCGAGGCTTAGGTCCTCGGTTCGCTGACATCTTGAAACCCAACGCCTCCACTCATCACAATCCTGTGCCATCAGCAGAAGCCCTTCCCAAATAACTTTAACATGCTATGCCCCTTTGTATGTCCCAAGTCTAGATCAAGCTCCTCATCTTCCATCTCCCAATTTCTGATGTCCAGTAGAAGGCTCGTTTCGATTATCTTTGCGGTGGCATGCGGCAAATGTATCCCAGCTAGGGGCGGAGCCACAGGGGGGGCTTTGGAAAGTCGGTAATCGGGATAACCGGATATCCGGCTGCTGCAAAATGCTGGCTGCCCCCTTGTGCTGCCCTGCAGGCTGTTTGAGCGGCAGCCTTTCGAACTGATCGAACTTATTAGCTACAGCGGTTCCGACCTATTAATAAACTCCGCGTTCAAATCCAATGGAATTTGTTTTATACATTTGTGGCGCCCATTGGAAAACATACACTGGATATCTCAGAATATTGAAGTCAGCCCACCCAAAGTCAAAATCCTGGCTCCGCCCCTGGTCCCAGGCATTTTATATAGCGGTGTTTTCTGATGGACATTAACGATTGGTTTGTTGACGGAACTCTTTAATATCAAGCATTTTAATGAAATGTGTAGGATATGTCTTGGGCATCTGTGATGAGCTGCTTCTAACTTTGCATTATTCCCTGTTATTGGCCAAGCCGCACTGGTGTTTTTTTATCAGAGGGATATTACTTGCGATATATTTTGACAGGTGCTCGCAGTTGGCATGCAAACGTGACTGATCCTACATTCTTAAAGCAGGTATGCAAGCACAGTACAGTTATGTGTACCTGCGTTGTAGTGTAAAAGGCACCTTTTCCCTCTTGCCACAGTGGCCTCAAAATGCTTCACTCTTGTTTGAATTACACGACTGCCCCACAACACTTCCCAAGGAATCTGTGCCTTGTTTTTTGTTGAGATAAATATTCTGATATACGGCCACCAGTTCAATGTAAGCAATTCCCAGGATCACACCAATATATCATACATATGTACATGAACTTCATAACCAGGTGAAAGGCGATATACTAAAGTGTATTATGTAAGGAACGCCTTGGGTGTAATTCAAGCATGTGTAGTAATGTACAAACATTTTAGTGCACAAATATCGTACGTAAAAAATATAGCTTCGAAAGGTTACTCGTGAAAATATGAATAAAATGTAAGAACAATTGCAATCACATTTAGCTATGCATCGGCCACTTCTGAATGAAGGCCTCTCCAAGCTGTTACAATCCCTCTTTGTCCTGCAGTATAACAATACATCTATATCCTGCACATGGTCCGGTTTCATTTCGCCACAGTGGATGTCCTCTCAGGCATGTTGCCTTCATTGGCTGCCGCTGATTTATTAGTCTCAATCACCGGCCATCATCCCTTCTCGTGATGGCTCCTGTCTAAGCCGACTTATTTTTCTAAGCAGTCTATGTAAATAATTTGAGTGTGTTCTCTAATCTATGTGTTCCTTTTTCTTTCTCTTTGCAATCTTCAGATTAAATTTTTTTACGTCAAAAATGTCCACGTTTCTGCTCCATGTCATAGGTAATAATGCTTACCTGTCTATCTAAAACTGGCCAGTGGCTCAGCGATAAAATCATGGTTTGGGGTTTATTCAGCCCATTAAGCCTCCTGGGTGGATAACATTTCTACAACTGTGTGAGCAAGTCAACAATGATTGTTCTGTATAAGAAAGAGACTGGCTCCTGCCATAAGAATAAGGAAGCTCCACCAATGGTGCGGTTGTAATCAGAATATGAACACTCCCTCACTGCTCATTTGAGTGGAAATCACTTCAAATGTATCAATGCATATAATTTACATTGCAAACATAAAGTATACAGAGCTGCTCATGCACATGCTTACCCAGGACCGCGATGATCATGTCCACGTGTGTGAGTGGCGAGGCAGGGTTGATGTAATAATTGAGCGCTTTCAGCACGGCCATCTCAGAGGAAAGGATTTGCTCCAAGTCAATGCTGGACCCAGACAGCGCCTGGATCAGCATTTGGGCAGGCTTTAGCGTCACCATCTACACAAACATCCACACGAAACTTATCAAAATTTTCCCAGTTTTATCCCAGCGGTGCGGTCAAAATGGTAAAATAATACACAGCGTCTACCGAAAGGGAACGCACACTGATGCCTATCTGAATGCAGATTCGCATCATCACCCAGCACAGAAATCCTCTCTCATCAAGACGCTCATACATCGGGCAAGAACAGTGTCAGATGGTGAAAGTCTCAGGAGAGAGATTAAACATGTCAAAGAAGCACTACGACTGAATGGCTAAAATAATGCTCAAATTAACAGAGCATTGAATGCCAAACCAAGCCCGAACAACAATACTGCTGAAAGTAATCAGATTATCAAAACAATTAAAATACCATATATCTCGGCAGTTACTGACAAATTAGCCAGTATTTTATAAAAAAGGCAAAACATTAAAGTGAGATTTGGTACGGTACATAAAATTCAAAAACTAGTGTACCTGTACTAAAGATTAATTATCGAAGTTATCAACAGAAGGTGTATATCGGATCAATTGCTTATGCGGTAAATGCTTTATTGGACAGACGGGACGTAACATTATCGTAAGACTAAAACAACACCAAAGGAACATTAAATTATCTCAAATACAGCTGTCAGCAGTGGCAGAGCATGCTTGCCAACAAGGACATTTAATTTAATAACGTTGAAAAACTAATTATTACTGGCCAAGACTAATTAGAGAATCAATCGAAATTGAGAATACAAATGATTTCAACCGCTGTGAGAGCTACAGACTCAGCGCAGCCTGGAAGCATATTATTAAGTAATACACAATACATATTGCAATTCATATTCTTTGGTTCCTTCAGTAAAATAACGTAGATAGAAATAAAAACCACGTTTCGATCGCAACACAAGCAGTCGTCATCTGGAAAAGGGGACCGCTTGTGTTGCGATCAAAACTTTCTTTTTATTTTTTCTAGAACCAAAGAATATTAATTCCTGCAGTCACGAAAGTTTTAAGTCAATATATTGCAATTCCTTATAGGGGAGACACATGCTAAGTGGCTGATTACTGATCTATTACATAATTGCAATACCGCCCCCACCTCTGCCTCTATATCAAAACCTGATGGTGTTCAACAATGATGACGTCATCCTGCACTATTTAAGACTGGAAGCAGGTGGATGGCTTCACTATTCTGGCAAATCGCCCGAAGATGCTGGATGTAATTACCAGCGAAACGTCGTACTCCAATTCGAAATGTTGTGGATTCACTCTTCAAACACACTTGGGCTGAAGAAGTAACTAATTGGCGTTTTGTTAACGTGACACATTTTTACTGATTGGCCGTGTCGGGTGGTGGAGGGTTGCGACACATAATGCGATCTAACCCAAAAACCTTTATTATGGATAGGTTGAAGCCACCAACGGCACATCCGATTAGCACAGTTCAACATACAAATGACCCGGAATGTGCCTATCTCGTCATATTTCAAAAGCTAAGTAGGCTAAGCTTGCATAATATTTGGATGTGAGAGAAGCATGCATTACAGGTGTTATAGGCTGCTGGAAAACGTGGCCAGCAGAGGTAATTGCAACATTAATTGTACTCCAATTATATGCTCCACATCTGTATGTTTAACTTATTTCGCATAGTACGTAGCCAACCGTGCTAATCGGAGGTGTGGTGAGATCTATGCTTCACACATTCACCAATCTATACCGACTAGCATGACATGATCAAATAAACCCCATGATCATCACGGTGTGGGAATGCTCTCATCCAGCAAGATTACCAAGGGCTGCACAAGTACACATAGCCATTGGAGGGCTTAGGGTTGCTCTTGCACCTTGTAGTGAGCCATCTGCTTGCTGGCAATCTGTACACATGACACCATGCGCAACAGCAGCAGCAACTCGCTCTTCAGGTCTGGCAGCCGAGCCTCCCAGTTAATTTCGTCAGAACTTCCCGCCGCTTTCTCCTTCAGCCACTCGTCGCACTGTGCCTTGGTCTGCTGTAGCATGTACCTGTAAATTCAAGTTTATTTAACCAGGTGAGGACTCAAGAGACCAAGATAGTCTAATTTACAAGTGAACTTGGCCACCTAAAGAACAAAAGAAAAACAAATGTACAGCTATGAAGCAAACAAATTAGGGCAAAAACTGTCACGATACATGGACATATTTGTCAGACAAATTAATGTTAAATGATATGGTACTTTCCAAGTAGCATAATCAAGTTACAAAAACAAACAGATATAGGGTGACAGTTGTGGCATGGGGGTGGAGGGGAGGCACAATTGAATACTTCAGTTCTAACACCGCCTTATACTGTCTAGATAATGCTATATTCAATGTACCACTTTTTTGGGAAGTCATTTACAGCCCCGTCAATCCACTGCTCAATGAAGGTATCCAGGCCGTCAGTCGTGGGGATTGTTTGAATCATATTTCATCACGCTGGTCAATGCGAGTTGGTAAAGGTGTAGGGGGCAGAACTGGTTCACATATCACCACTAATCTTAACCATGGTCAGCAACCAAACTCATGTCGCCGGGTTCATAGTGCAGTGCGCTAACCAGTGCCACACCGCTCCACCCCAGGAAATCATCCGTAGTTGTCAAATGGAGACACTCCCCCCCACCCCTCACGTTAGGAATCGGGAATTTCCACGACCGACTTGGTGTGAATAGAGATTAACACCATCCTATGCTTGTTTGGGCAGGAAGAAACTAACAGGATGTAAGCACAACTGCTTGGTTTTTGCAGTGTAGTTCTGAGGTTCTTTCGTGTTGTACTGTATGGCTTGACGTCTGATGTTTCGCATCACTTGCTTGTAGATTTTTCAGGAAATTGAGCCGCTTTCTGCCTCGACTATGCAGCACATAGAGCGAAACATCGGCCGTTGTACCGAACACACGGTACGACCCAAAAACGCATCGGAGAGATGTAAACGCGCCCACGTCTTTTGACGTGTGTGGGACTTCCTCCTAATGAGGAAGTGATGCTGGCAGCTGTAGCGATAGGAATACTGTACCTGTCAAACAGCTCCACCGCCAGGTACTTGACGGAGGTGTGAAGCTGCAACTTCTCACATATGAGAAAGATGTTCTCTGCAGCCAAAAACAAGACGCGCAGTGCGAGTCGCCGTGTTTAGTTTGCTTGCTGATGTTATTGCTTCTATTGTTGCCACCCTAAATGGAATGAGCGATTTCAGTGAATGGCTATTTACTCCCTCTATGCGTCTGATGTCCAAGAACACACAGGTGTATCCCGTGGTTTGATGGAGTACAGTAAACATGTTGGGACACTTCAAGACACCATCATCGGCCATGATCTATCCACTGCAGGATGAAGACCTCCATAAGCCATCAGCTGTTGGGTTGGACTTAATCCAGCGGTGGATTGAGCATGGCTGATGACGGACAAGGATATGTCTGTGAATATTTTCTAGAACTAAAAAATAAGATGTAAATTGAGCACCAAAGAAATGCATGTGAAGTCCGATTCCAACATAAAACATTTTCTTTTTAAGATTGACATACACTACTGTAGTTTGAATGATGGGGTGTTTGGTTAATTTGTAAGAGTTCAAGATGTCATGCCCAAAGCCCTTTGATTTGTAATCCTTTATACCATGGGGGGAACTCTTTAGTGTATTGGGTAATGGGCTACACGCAGCCCACGAGGCTTTAATCTTCTCAATGCCAAGTCAAGCTTCACACTTCAAGTTTGGTAGTCAAACCCAGCATTCACCGAAACAATCGTTAGCGACGTGAATACAAGCAAAAACAGTAAACAAGCTGACACATTATATCACCTTCATAGATCTAGCCCTCCACATATAAAGTAGTTTTGTTTACAATTCCTCTCACAAGGCCTTTCTGGAAGTGCATTATTTTAGCAGCAACTGGTTCAATACAAGCAAGTCCAGGTCTAATAGTTGGCGGAAAGGGTGAACAACACTTGTTATATTTAGACAGATACATCAAGGAGATACATTGTAAGCTTTAACCACTTTCAATGTGGAGACATCAGTGATAACGGCCCTTGTCAATCTACTTGCCGGATTGTCTCATGGCATTGCACACGGGGCTTTAGACAAGACCAGGTGGACAGAATGTGTGAAGTGTAACATGGGTCTTTTTACCTCATGAATTCCAAGTAAGGTTACGTCCCTGCGTGTAATTCACGGGTAAAAACACGACCACCGTGAATTGATCACGGGAAAAATAAAGAATGACGGCTGTGCATGCACACACCACGTGCGGTATTGGTGGCAGCAATTAGGAGGAAAAAGACCGAACGACATTTATTCGCAATGTAAAATGCACGTTGATGTATGTTGTTAGTGGCGGGGTGGCCGAAAATTATTAAACTGTAGCTGACCGGCCACTCTTTCCCGCCCGAAGGCCCCTTCACATGGTTCCCGCGGCCGGCTGGGTTGCCACGTCTCAATGGCCAGGGAGTTAAGCATCTCCTCCAGCATTGCCGGGGTCACACCGTCAAACACCGTCTCGCCCGGCAGCGTCTGTGCGTGCTCCATGGCCACCCGCGCCCTCCCCCCGTGGCGGAGCCGTCGTGTGAATTGCCCCGTAGCTCGGCCTTGGACTCGAACAACTCGACGACGTCTCCAGACTTTTGTGATCGCCTCACGCCACTCGGCGGAGTTTCCCCGCCAAATTGGTGGCGGTTGGCGGGCGGGCGGGCGCGCGCTCATTGGTTCCACGCGCCTCCGTAACGGCGGCGGGAACGCGCGAGCTCTGATTGCCCGAGCCGCGCGCGCTCTGATTGGCCGAGCCGCGCGCGCATGCCGCTTTCCGCCTCGCCTGACCCTCAACGCATTCGTCAATCTCATCGTTGAGCCCCCTCAAAGGAAAGCAAAATTATTATTTGGAGTTAACACGTAGGCTGTAGCGATCAGTATTATTTCCAATACCCCCCCCCAAAGAAAAACATAATTATGATGGGAAATATATATTTGACGACGTTTTAGGCAATGGCCCCTTCATAGCATATCGCGCTATATAAATAGTCGGGCTACGCTCTCAAAAGTTGTCGAGTTGCTGAGATCCCCTCATTTACACGAATACATACGCATATATATTCCTCGCCACCCGATATCCATTCTAATGTTTGTCTTATTATCAAACAAGAGCCTGGTTCAGAGCGCGAGCGACGGGGAAGTGGGTGTCCGGTACAGACATTCGGCGAAGGACAGACACGATGCCAGGCGGTGGGGCTCACGGCCCCACTACCAACTCACGTCGGGGCAACGTTCGGGGACGTGGTTATTACACTTTAGGAAGGGGGTGAGGTTAGGGAAGTGGAGTCGGGAAAAAAATTTCACCCAAACAAGCGAAAAATAAAGTAGCATTCACGCGCCGAGTGTCGTGAGCCCCCCCGGTTCAGCAGCCTCCTCGTGCCTGTCCCGAGGAGTGATGTCAGGAGTTCACAATATTTATATCACAATTTTTATATCACTGATGTCCAGTAGGGGAAGGTCAGAACGTTACAACAAATAATACAAAAACACGATAGGAGTGCGAATTATAGAAAATGTAGACAAATCTCCTTTAAAAATATTTCCAAATAAAACCAATTTTAAAAAATCTAACTGGGTAAGGCTTACTAAGCCAGAAGCGACCTAGCCACAGATGACATCTCAACGAAGTGGCGTATCGTGCGCACTCACGCTGCGCTAATCAGAAACGATGACCATCTCTCCTCCAAGTCTCGCTCTTTATACCCCTTGAGTCTATGACTTAGGAGCTCCGATCTGGCAAGGGTCAGGAATGGTATTTTGTGATAGTTTCTCGGAGGGAGGTTTCGTGGTTTTTTCCCAATTTTTTGCCGACAGTTTTCCTTGGAATGATTTAGCGTCGAAGGTTTTCAGCACATTTCGTGTTGACGTTTGGATGCCCCATTTGGTTTCAGGCCCCCCAACAGAGTTGAATCAAAGGGCTAAGCATCGATTTAAAGCTTTCGTGACTGCAAGGATTCATCTTCTTTGGTTCTTTCGGTAAAGTAACGTAGAATGAGAATACAATAATAAATTGATAAACTAAAATAACACAATAAAATTCGCACGACGTTGCGGCCGCTTGTGTTGCGGCCGAAACGTCGTGAGAATTTTATTGTGTTATTTTATTTTATCAATTTATTATTTTATTCTCATTCTACGTTACTTTACCGAAAGAACCAAAGAAGAAAGGCTAAGCAATCACATTTAGCAAGCATCCTACATGTCTCGTTTCCGCTCCTCCATCCAGACCCACCTCTTCTTCTGCCTGGCCCATCCTTCCCCTCCATCCATAGGTGCCCCCCGCAATTCCCGTACCCACTAACCTCCCTCCCCATACCCATACATATTCACCGTAAGCTACCCACGTGCCACGCATAACCCTTGTAAAGCACCTTGGATAAAGGCGCTTTATAAATATAAAATAAACAATAAATGCAAATCAAGATAGACTGACGAGTGGAAATGATTTGATCGATTCAGCTGATTAGCCAAGCCTTCTGAATTGACTAGAATCGATTCCACACGGACACCCCCTACCCACCCCCACGCCGCTCGGGCCACGTGACCCGCGTCGCCATGGAAACGAGGACGCGGGCAGTCGCCGGTGTCAACACGAGTGAGAAGCCTCGGGGCTTCGCGTCAAATCTCCCAACAGCATTGCGACCACTGTGCGTAACAAGGCGAGCCACGGATATTATCCTTATTAGCGAGATAGGCGGCGAGGACTGATCATTCTTTGCTGACTGTAGGCGTTAACGCGGACGGGAGCTCACTAACGGGAATGAAACGCGTTCGGGAGGGCGTCTACCGTGGAGGTCATGATCAACCGTGGTCAATACACTGCTGGATGATGGCCTCGCCATGTCGCGCCGGTTATTGGGGGGTTGTTTGACCGTACTTGACGCTGGCCAGTGCGAGTCGGTGAAGAAGGAGGGGAGTTGTCCAGAACCGGGTCAGATATCACTCACCACTGACGTTAACTGTGGCTAAAAGCGGGTTCGACCTGCTGGATAATACATATAATTCTGTGCATTAGACTCCCAACCTGGTATTTCAGCTACCTTACAGCTGGACACCGCATCCCACTTGCTGTGCTACCATATCCCAGCACGCGATGATGTCTCGCAACACACGACGGTGATCTCGGTCCGAGTCACAATCCCCATTGCCGCGTCGCTCAATGGGAATGAATCCTCGTGTGTGCCACCATGCCTAACGGCGCACACTCACGGTGTCCTCTGTTGTCAGCTGTCATAACAACACGTGCGCCTGTCTGGAATGTGTCCCTCGTGTGGAGCAGTAGGCAAGGACATGGCTGACGTTGTGGAGGAGTCTGCGAATCCAGCCTCCTTTGAGCCGTCCCTTGCCAAGGCGAAACCCAGTGTCCTCTCCAACCAGGTGGGGAAAGGGTTCCCAATCACTCGTGCGGTGACATTTAGACACTTTGATTATTCACACATTTTGTATGTTCAATATATATTGCTTGATGGTTGTTCTCGCATGAGTCATCCCATCATCACAGTAAATTTGATGCATGTACACACTTTTTTTTCAGCACATTAATCAACAACGCTGCCCTAAACAGAAGTTTACTGTATATACATAATAGTGATGTTTATATGTATCAAGTTCATGAAGCCTGGCTTCGCCAGCCAAAAGTTTTCAATAAATATAATTAGCTTAATGTGGTTTTTTTTACAAAGAAATCTACAATCAGACACTAACAACTACTCCAAAAATTAGTATTTTTCCGCAAAAAAGATTGTTGACCACTTGATTCAACTTGTTATGTTTAAAGACGTACCCATCGGAAAATGCTCAATTTAAATATTCCGTTATTTTATTTTTAGAAAGACCAAATTAATGAACGTAATACTCTATGAGTGGAAGCTCCAATCTTTTACCGTTTTCGAATTATTCAGATTTTAACATCATAAAATGCGTAATTTTTTGTTCAAACCCATTTGAATCGGAAATATCTCAAAAAAAGTAAAAGATAAAAGAATGGTTTCGTTTTGATTTTATTTGCTGTTTAACGCTCTATCAAACAAAACAAACTCAATCTAATATTTTGAACGGTTTTTGAATGACACGCACAAACAAGTTTATTGGGCACTTAAAATCGAAATTTGGGGGCCTTAAAATAAAACAAATCTCAGATTTTCCTACTGTTTGTGTCCTAAAAGCTACCTATGTACCAGATTTCAGCTTTCTACCTTGTTGGGAAGTGCCATCGAGGTTTCTGAGACATACAGATTAAGATATTTATTCATATTGATAGGTAACGTTTTAGACAATGGCTCTACTTCTCTCTCAATAACACTTCTCTCTGCAGAAGAGCTATTTCACAAAATGTCCAAAAATTGCGCCTCTTTGTAAATCCAGTGATGGATAAAGATTTTCTTGAACTGTCCATCATGGAGGTTGTTTGACCATACTTCATCACGTTGGTCAATGCTGGTTAGTGATAGCAGGTCGATGATTTCATAGCACAGTGCACTAACCACTGCACCACCACTCCCCTACCTTAATTACACAGATTTTAAATGTTAAGTGTTTGAAAAAGATGCAACCCATAAAAACAGACTTCATTAGTTTTATTTATTCACTTGTCATATCTAACAGACACACATACGCGAGGTGTCCATCTACACATTAAACGCTTGGTGTTGTGTTCTTTCTTTAACCGTTTCTGCTCATTTCATCATGGCTAAGTTCTCAGATTATCATAACATTGCCTTCGGCGGCAGGGTGGCGCAGTGGTAAGACTTGTGCGTCAGAAATACATTCCTGAGTTAAATTCCTGACTTGGGTGCCTGTGGACAGTTTGTGTGTTCTCCCCATATTATGTATGGGTTTCCTCGGGGTCCTCTGGGTTCCTCCCATCACCAATAAAAGCATGCAATGTAACTAGCGTTGGCCCAGCATCCTATTGCCAGAGGACTCTCCTAAAATAGTCTTTGGATTCAGTGTGATGGTGAGCCGTTTACATTTCTGTTTTTGGTAATGATAATGAGCGTCTGTGTCCTTGTTTTTCATGCACAGGACATCTCGCACATCCTAACAGGAATTTTTGGGGGACTCTATTCAGCCGAGGTGATTGGCCGGGACATGGCGGCCAGTCTGGACCGCTCTGCTGGTGGCCCAAAGCCCTATCATCAGCGCTATGTGCAAAAGCTCCGCAAGGTAAGCACGACGGATGCTTTTTTATGTTATGTGTGGTAATGTTTATCAAGCAGGACATGGAGACAACAGCAATAGTATTCTTCAACAGTATTTGGTGATAATTCGTTGGCAGTGGTGCACAAGCACAAATAACAATAAACTCAACACATTCATCAACAACACTGTCTTAAAAATAATGATAATATATAATACGTGACATTTCGGGCAATAGCCTTTCTTCACAGCGCATACATTTGCAGAAACAAATTTATGGTCTTTTTTTTTATTGTGGAGTCATTTTTGATCAGGCACAGAACCCGGTTTAATCACAGGCAGCTGCCTAGATTCAAACCCATGATTCTCAGCAGCACCAACTCAGCGCTCTGCCCTCACAATTATTATCAGAGTTGTCTCTTTTGTTTGCATTTTGACTGCTTGTGTTGTGGTTATTGCAAACATGATGCCTTGAATAAAGGTGTCAGTTTTTGTGCCAGTTAAAAGGGTAAAACCTATTACTATACCTGGTGACTTCTTTGGTTGTTTTGATAATTTATACTGCTGTAATTCATTCTGTGGATTATCAAAACATCTTTGGGAATTCATTCTGTGGGCAAAGCTTTCTCAACCATCGGGTTGCATGTACCGCACACTTACTCCGATGTGGGCAGCACTCATCCACTGCAATTAGAGCTGTCCGTCTGTAGCATGATGGTGTGGGTATGGGTGTGTATGTGTACGTATGTGTGTGTGCGCGTGCAGTTGCGCGAGCAGTACAAGGAGCGCATGGATGAGGCGGATATGCTGGAGAGGCATGTGATCGAGGCTAGGGCCCGCGCCGCAGCCGACCAGGAGGTGGCTGAGAGCCACGACAGCACTGGGGGGCTTATTCCTGGTACATACACACACAGACCACATACGCGCGCAGTGACAAAATACACAGATCTCCGTGCAACAGTACAGACTGCTGGGGCAAGTGCTGTTAGGAGACATCTATTAAGGCCGGCACAGCACATAAGGAGGCGGTGTAACCAGCACCATGCCTGGCCACATTTCTATCCCCGGTATTGATGTTTACACATCACACTGGGTACTCGTTCAACTTAGCTTCCGAGATCTGACATGGTCGGGCACTTTCTGGATGATTTGATTCGAGGCCCTGTGGCAATTATATTACATAAACTGTCGATTAAAGTCAATGAATAGACGTAACATCTTCATGGGACATAAGTGAATTTTGCGGACTTTTTTAGTAGTCTTGAATTTTTTCACCTCTATGCACCACTGTAAACGAGCACTGACTCCCATTGTGCCCCCCCCCCTCCACGATGTGATGTGTGACAGCTCCAGCTCGCCTCCGCTATTGCGCCGACAGTGATCTGCTGAGGAAGCACAAGCTGATCAGCCCTGCGGACTACCATGTGGACCCTGCACCACTCACAAGAGCGCCCAGAGGTGAAGGTTCTACTCAGGGCGTTTCGGTAGCTTTGTAACACCTGGTGTAGTTGTGATCTCCCTTCCAGTTACTATCCAGTCTCAAGCCTGCTTAGTTTCCAATATCTGATGGGATCGGGCACAATATCTGTGACTTGGTCATAGCCTGGTCAGCTGTGACAATTATTAATTTCAAGGCCAGACTAAAAATATTTATTTTCTCTTGTTTAGATTCACTTCGTTGAATTTTTTCAGTGCCATCCGTGCTTCCGTCTCCATTTTTTGCTGAATATGGCGCGTTATAAATCTTGGATTGATTGATTGATAGGCAGCTCTACGTGTTATAAAATTCATATTTTATAAGTCACTTAATAGCTATATACAGGGCTTCATTTCTGGTTCTGTT